TATTTGTATCATTGAGAAAAAACTACGATATATAGATATTAAAAACTATGCAGGTCACCGAAATAATTATCTTGAAAAAAGTGCATTAAATGTATGTCTGCATAATTGAGGCATAACTGAATGTAATATGTAAGACCTAGTCCATAATGCTTTCACATATTTGATTTTTTATGGCCTAAAATTATGATTATCAAATTTTAGACTTGACACTGAGTTGATCTGCATGTTGTGATTTAAGAGTGACCTCACTCAATCAAGCAAACTAGACCTGTTTTGTGCAAATTGTAATGTCTAGAACAAGAAACGTCTCAAAAAAAATTAATTCTTAACTTAATTTTAAATAAAGCAACTGCACAGACAAAGTCCGTCTCCAATGTGTGTATTTAAAGAAATGTGCTCATATGTTGTCATTTTGAAAATCTTGTTTGGGATTTGCTGTGGCAGCCGACTAGCTTTATAACCCCACACCGTGCAGAGATAAACCAAGGAAGGCCAAGGAGCCAAGACGGCTTTGGAGAAGATCATCTAATCTAATTTTCTCTCCTCAATAAAAGCCGTAGAATTTCCCCCCATCAGAGAGCTGTACCATATGCTGCAGGGTATACATACAATAACAGCAGCCCCAGTGGACCGGCAGAGGGCTATACTGTCTATCAGCTTTAGATGACACGTTTTGATAGGAGACTGATTTAGGCCTGAGCTACCGCAAGATGACTCGAGTCTCCATCCAATCAAGGAGGTGTGAAGAACACCTGCGGACAGTGGAATAGTCTTCGGGAGGATGATGGCCAGTGTCCGTCCACACAGCCCAGCATTGCATTAGCTTTTTCACCACAATACGATTTGCACCATGGACCACAGATCCAACTCTGATGTCTCTATGAAGTGTTTGAGGCAATAAAAACGCTATATATATATAAACGCTCACCGTGCCACATGTTCACAGTGTGCAATCGTGTTTGAAAATAAGGGTCGTGTGATTTATTTTTTACTTCAAGTTAATTCCCTGGTGAAGGTAAGAGAAAGTGAAAACACGTGTTGAAACTCATTGATTCATTAAAAAACATTCAATATCAATTTGACCATTGTTTACCTTTTGCTTCCCTTGGTGCTTTGGTTCCCCGTCTACTGCATCACAGGACCGCCACTGTCCTGGCCCAGCTCCATCACCATAGCAACGTGATCTCTGACCCCATCTGTGGAATCCTTGACCTGGATGTAGATCAGTGCGGCAACGACGGAGCCTATTGGCTGAAAGCTGTCTCTGTGTGGAGGCTGCAGACGAGTGGGGATTGTGGCTGTGATGATGCGGTTCAGCCTGGGAAGACGGCAGCATCCTGGGGTCTGCTACTACTGGCAGACTCAAATCCTGTCCTCGGACTCAAAACACAACTTCAGCTCAAGAAACCACATTCTGTCACAGAGAAAACGGACATATAGCAGTTTTCAAGAAATAGTTTGACATGAAAAAATTCCCCTTGTGGCCTTAAAATAGCTTAAATGTAACTTGACACCGTCCTTTACTTATGTCATGACTGAATAGGGTATTAGTATAAATATGCTGCTCACCTGCAGTTGAGGAGCTTTTTCCTGCAGCTGAGCCCCACCCACAGGATGATAGGATTGGTTTCTTAGGTTTGTGACATCACAAACCCTGGCTTTCTGAATTCATTTCTTCTGACTGGCATTTGCTGACGTTGCAGTGTTAAGGTGGAAATACTAAAAAACTAAAAACATATCTTGTAATCATGTAAAGGACATACGGTGGACATGTTAACATGTTTAAATACTTCATTTAAAACAGAGGGGGACTTTAAAGGAAGATGAAGAAAGAGTTTGAGAAATGCCAGAAGTTGTAGCACTGGGTCCAATACATCGTACATAGTGCCTGTTGGAGACGAGACCTCAGAGATCTGACTTGTCTGGTAGACAGCTGCCTGACGGAAAAGAAGGGAAGGACTTGCTATCGTTGTTCTGCCTGGATCTTGTTCTTGGATATTTGTGAACAAAATTTTCCTGAGAGCTCCAGATCTGCGCTGAGATTTCTTTGACAAACAAATATCTCATGGTGGTGCCATCCAAGAGGGAGCAATTGTACAGAGGAGGAACAAGGCGGCATCTTTTTAAGTTGGACCTCTGTAGTTTAGCAGACTTCTCTGAACGAGAGGCCAGTTCTCCCACTGGGCATCACATCACTGGTCTTGCTTCAAGGCTGGGTGTGGTGAAAACTGGGCTTTCAAAAATCCCAGTTTTCCCCAAGGCAGACCTGGGGCAGTTTAACCAGCCATCAAACAAGACATACTCTGAATAGGGGAGAATTGGCCCTATCACGTTTTCCACTAGTCCCCAACTCCCAAGTCAATGATAAAACTTTGTACAGACACTTGCCTGCATTTTTGAAAGGGCAGTTGTGGTCAGAACATTTTTAACTTGGCTAATAATGATGATGATGTTTTTAAGAAAGAAACAACTGATTACTAAACTTTATTACACAGCATTAGTGACTGCAGTTTGTGTGCACACAGGATACAATAAACAACAAATGTTTAAAATGAACAGAAATATACAGTTTATTTACATGTGTTGTTGAGTATTAATCATATTTTAGTAACAATCTAAAATGCCATTTAGAGCTCAGTCAGTGTTTATGACCTCCTGGACACAGGCTGCAAACAAGGCCATGTTAAGGAAGGAAGTGAATAGGTTAAATACAAATTATAGGTGATCTGGGCCTGTAAAGGATGAGAGTACTTAAAACATCTCCAAATTATGTATCACTACAACTGAATGACCTAACCTTGAACCTCAGCTTGCCTAAAACCCATCACAGTGCCAGTGCACAGTGATTACTTAGACTCAGAAGTGAAATGAGGCTGCTTTTCAACGTGCCCTTTAGCCGACATTTACATTATTTATTCATGTGCTCCTGAACTGTGATGGTCTACATCAGAGGACTTAATTATGTCCAAGGAGGCAGCACTGATCAGTCAAAGGCCTCACTTACTACCATGAGGACGAAACACTTGTGCATAACACATCAACATCTCTTAATGCAACAGTGAAATCAATTAAATACAGGCCTATTGAATCATATTAGTATTGACTCATAATCCTCGAAACAAGTTGGCACAAGTAAGGAACTGAAAGCCTCATATTTTTAACAGGGGGAAATGGCCATAATCTTCATGCTGCAGACCAAAATGAATGAGAATTAATACAGCTCACAACCAAAAATATTACATACATGATAGAGGAAAAAGGAAATCAAAATATTTAAAATAATCTTTACATTAATATTAGAGCTATAGTAAACTGCTCTTTTAAAATGTCTTTAATATTGGTGTAAGTTAGGCAGTCATTTTTAGTGTGTGATGGATATAACATCAGTTTGGAGGACCAGAAATATGCTGGTTATTTAGTTGATTGGCAGTTTGTGCCATGTATGTGTCTAAAATATAACGAATTGTCTTTTTGTGCAAGATTTACAATTTAAAAAAAATTATATGATTTAAAGTACTGCGCTAATTTTTTTTTACTTTTTCAAATGAATAAATGGTGAATTTGCTTGTAATGGTTTAAATCATGCAGCTCAACATGGAAACCAGCAGTGCTGTGTCATTACATCCCCTACAATTAGACCTTCAAGCAACTGAATGGCACAAGGAAGAAAAAAATAGCACAAGGGCAGGTAGTTTAATAAGATGTTTGAAGCACTCATTACACCGTCATCTTGCAGACAGCTTAGAGCAAAGAGAAATAATTAAGGATCTGATCCACGGTGACCTGCATTCGATGGAACTCTTCAAATGGTGTGGGGGCAGAGAGAGGGCACGTTCCTGCTAATACACGTACAGAGGCTGGAAGGCTGGCAAAAATATAAATTTAGAAAACTGTTGAAAATAACAAAGACACAGACAGTGAGGCTCAGGGATGACAGAATATAACAAGTGCTGCTAGTTAGCAAAAAAGGGGAAATATAGGTAAACGCATTCATTGCTACAATATAATGAACCTTTAGATCCATTTGGCCATTATCTCTAAAAGGGTGCTGGGTGGCTGAAGCCAATCTCAGCAGATATTGGGTGAGAGGCGGGGTACACTCCGTTTATGGCAACGCTGACATATAAAAAAAAAAGTCAACACCAACATTAGCTTTAGGCCATCAACCCTTTATTATTCACCAGAAATATTTTCTAACATACAAAGATTTCCACAAAAAAGAACTGTTATACCAAAAGCATATTTTTTTAACAAATATTGTCCTGTATTAAATAACCCCCCGTATGAATAATACAAACAAACTGATGTGCCAAAAACACAAAAGTAAACATGGAAAAATGTCCATTGTCCTATTGTCCCTCCCTCTGCCTGGTCCAGAAGGACCTTCCACTTCAGACAGTAGCGAGTCTGTCTGCTTAAGTCGTGCCTGTATGAAGGGACTTAAGAGTGAGGGGCCTTATTGATCGTCTTCTATGAGTGAAGTCCAGGCATTAGTTCCAGCAGGGTGAATAGACAGCTGTCCGTGAGCCACTCTACTGGGCCAACATAGCAGGGCTGAGTGGAGCTGGGATGTGCACTTTTGATTTTGATCTCCCCAACATCACTTCTATTGACCGACGCACTGTCCTGTGCTTTACTTGCTGAGAGAAGCACTTGCTGGGGCCTCGCTGGAAGCCTGGACACAAGCCACCATTGCATTATCCGAGTTGCTGTTGACAAGCTTGTGATGATGAATCCTCCATGGTCTGCTGAGACCTAGCCCTAATCACTGCTGTCATCTACTGGCAACTGCCGTATCCACTGACCACGGCAATCACAAGTTGGTTTATCGTGGTACACAGTGCTGAGAATCCTCGTGTTTGTTATCAAGGTGTTTATGTGTGGACTAGATTCTCAGAAGTTAGACCAAAGGTCAATTTATACTGAGAGCAGCCCACTTTTCCATTTGTGCTCAAAATGTTGCAATGATCAGAAACTTTTCCTGGCAGTTACTTGATTACTTGTTTTTTATTGGATTAGTATTAGTGTCAGTTCAATTTGTTATTATTATTATTTAAGTCCACAACGTTATTTTTCATTTGAAGGTATTATTTTTCAGGTATACATTTTTTATATTTTCTTCAGCCATTTTGGAATTTGGATCCCCTACTGGCCAAGCATACACCAGGACAAAATTGGCAATATGCACTCAATGGTTTATATTACTGTGGCCAACTAAGATGGTTTGTGTGTATTTAGTCTCAACCTTGACCATTAGAATATGAAAGTATCAACACAATTTAATATTTTTTTATATTTTGCGGAAGCCCAGGTGTCCTATTTCTAATTGACATTTTTTATGTGAGGTGGGGCTTACCGCTTGATCTTCTGAGACAAAGAGGAAAACTCCTGCGACTTCCTGGTCCTACAAAGTAGCACCTGTGCATGAATCCAAAGGAAAAGCACATTGATCCATTATGAATTTTCCTGTCACAAATAACAGAAATGATTGAATTACAAACTGACCATTTTGAAAATGCAGGGGCCTGAGATGAACACAAAGAAATGGTACATGCTGCCATCTAGTGGTTACTAGATGGATAGCATGCACAGAAGGAGGCCATATAAATGCTTACAAATTTGCCTGTAAGTAAACTATATATAGCATTATGTACAATTCAATTCTTTAAATTTAATATGATGCATTTCAAAAAGTCTTATCGGCCTACACAGACCAAAGAGGCTCTATGCGCCCCCCAATACATGGTGACTGCTCTCTCCTAGCTCTCAGCAGCTTTCGGCCTTCTTCATAGTCATCCTGGTCCACACTGATCAGCAGGCGCACACCCTCTGTGCCTGCTGCCATCCTCAGTGAGTCTGTGATGAAGACTCCCTTCAGGGCCTCCAACAGAGCTCCACTCAGGTAGTCACTCCAGAAGGCCTCCAGATTGTCCAGCTCTGTGAACTTGATGTCGCAGACGATGGAACCCAGGTCTCTGGCGCGCAGCAGCGAGCTGGCTTGGCTGAACAACTCGAACTGCCGCTCCAGCGGCTGCCGCTTGTCTGAGGAGACGTTGCCACGGAGTGCCGACTCATGCTCCAGATACTCAGCCCGGACACGCAGGCGGACATCTGATAATGGAGGAGGGAGGAGCAAATAGTTGTGGAAAAAGAGGTGAGGGGTGAAATAATTGTAGGTGAAGTAGAGGGGAGATCATGAATAATGAGGGAGACACAGTGGGTAAGGGGGGAAGAGAGGAGGATGAGAAAAGGTCATGTAAAAAGTAAAAGGGTGGTGGAAGTCAAATTGGATAGGCCCACAGTAGGGGAGGGGGGTCAAAACAAAGGGTAGAAAAACAGGAACAAGACAAAATCATAAAAGGACAATTAGTTCCCATTATCTACATGGGGCATTACATTCAGCAGAGATTAAACTAGGAGTTTGAGAGCATGGAGTTCCAAAAAGGAAATTGTGACCCAATAGGCTGATTAAGATGGTTCTGAGAATTGTGCAGCAGAACATTTGAGGTTCTCTTTTGATAAAGGCTTGTCAAAAGAGCAAATGCAGTGTTTTTTAAATTAACTTTTCAGTGTCAAGCCCTGGCTTGGCTTCTTGTTCCGGCCCAGTGTCAAAACACTGCAGATTCATTCTGATCAACATGTTTAATGCTGACAACAGATAGCTCCCGCAGTTCCGCATTAACAGGATTGGCGGTCATGCAACAGCACAGCGAGAAAGATCAGAGGATACATACTGTGCTGAGCAAGAGCACCGCTGAGACCGTCCCCCATGTCATTATTCTGGAACTTCGAGTGGAAACCAGCTGCTGATGACTTTTGCTGCAACAAAAATCCATCTCTCCCTCTCAAACCCCTTCAGTAGAGGTCAACAGTATTTACTACCAATGACATCCATTTTTCTAAGAACATTCTCATCAAGGTTTCATTGCAAGCGTGCAGAAAACTCATGAGTCTTCCTATTCTTCATTCATATTTTGTCTGGGGCTTCGGGAAATGGCACGAGACTCAAGAGGGTTTAAGTTTGGAAAATGCCAACATTAGAAATGCAAATGTTGAATTAAGGCATTGATTTTGCATCTCTTAACATTTGTAGGCGAGTGATAACCAAACACCGTTATTTGCATTTGTGCTTCATAAGGTTGTAATTAGATTACCACGAAAACAGAGGCCCGGATCAAAAGGGACGCTAAATCAATACGATTTAACAAATGTTAGATAATATGCAGGATTGGAAACAACATTCATTTGAAAACCCACTTGCAGGAGATCATTAAATTTAAACATCAATTTCTATTACAAGAATTGAAGGCAAAATATTTTTCTTCAGCTTGAAAGAAAATGACATTTTACAGACCTTTATAAGACGTTGTAGTGATTTAATAAAAATAAATAAAAATCACATTTCTATTACAATGCTTAAAATATATGACCTTTGACTGTAATAATGTTTCTCAAGTTCAGTCCATTGATAATAACAGAGATTTGATACATTTTGTTGTCTTGTCATAACACAGATCATGATCGTCCTTAGGACTTGAAACCTACACCAATTATTCATCCCCTTTTTTTCCATGTTTCATTGTTTTACAACCTTGATTTATAGGGGAATGCCGATACACAGAGAATCATGCAGAAAAAAAGTATTAGTTATCTAAAATGTTCTAGTAGAAGTAGACATAAGTTTTATGGCATAACAAAACTGATATTGAGAACTTTGTCCTCTGTGGCCCTGTTCATAACTGGTGCTTACATCCTTCTTGGCTGATCCAATCACAAGTGGAAAGCTCTAAGTACAGTTGTGAATGCACCGAGGACACTTTGAGGCTATCACATCAGATTGTTCAGACGTCGTCTGGGACGCATATGGCCACATTCTTTTTGACGACGTGAATGTGTCCTAGGGCCACATTGAGAGACAACCTTCTCAACTGTCCTCCTCTGCATGAGCGGAAGTAAGCGCTCAATTGGTTCAAAAAAATCGCATAAGCTGTCCAGGACATCTGAAAATTTCAAATAGTCCAGAGATATTACGAAAGCGTCAAATATCTTGGGCAATTTTTGGCTTGGAACACACCAAGGATTTCCTCTTTTTCTTTTAATAACAAGCAGACTAGGCACAGGAAGTGCACTGCAGCCTGCTGCTGATTAAAAACACCAATATACTTGGTCCTTGCAAATAGAAATGTACGTATTCATTTTCAGCAGGGAGGAGCAGGGAAGTGATATCTGATCACAAGTGGCCACTTACAATGCATGTGGAAACGGGCTCTAATGTCAGGTCTGAACTGATGTACTTCTTAAAGGCATATCAATGCCAGGTATGAACAGGGCCTATGGTTGCAATAATCAAATCAGAGCTCACCCCTGGAAACACATTATTTCCATTATGAAGTGCAGTGTCTGGTACTGCATCATGGTGTCTGCATCATGGTGTGGAACCATTTCTACAGCAGGCACTTGCATTGCTTGAGAAAGTAGAGGCTACAGTGAATGCAGCAAAATGCAGAGAAATCCTTGAGGAAAACCTGCTGCAGTCTGCAAAAGAACTGTGGCTCGCATGTAAGTGTTCAACACAATAACCTAGAATTTGAACAGGTTTGTTGTCACATGGATCAAGTAATTAAAGGGTTTTCTGCGTCAACAATCCATCGCACATGGATTCAATGTTGTAAAAGAATAAAACTAAAAAGGAGAGGGGATGAAAAACATTTCTTTACTATATATGGTCCCTGCAAGCATTGTTACATCAGTGACAGGATGCGCTTATTCAGGATGTCAAATCAAGTATTTATCTAGGTACAGAATATTGGCGATCACTTTACTTTTACACCCTTTACAATATTCAGTATGGACGTGGTGAAATATGAAGGTGGAGCAGTCAACATTTCCACCTTTTGAATAATTACACTGTGTTAGGGCTGTGGCTATGATAAACACCTGCCCTTCATGCAATTAATGCATTTATGCATGGTCTCCGTGTCTGCCTTCCCATTTCATACTGAGCAGGATGGAGGTAGAGATAGTGGTAGTGAGAAGAAGACCATTTAAAACCACAGGAACACAGTGATAGTCATTTTGTTAGGGTTACAGAGCACTTCACGCTTCATCAGACACAGAGAGATCCACTTAGACAGGACATTAGGAAGCACAGCTTTCATTTTCTCACTTTAAACACCAAGCCCGTTTGGCTTCCTCCATCTCACCCCACCAAAATAAAAAAAAGTTTAAGTACCCATTTACGAGGAGTCACTTGGAACGGAGAGCTTCAACTCTTTATCGATCCGTTTTTCTGCTGAACGACTGACCGAGAGAGTGGAGAGTTAGGGGAGTATTGAGAGACAGGCGGACAGAACTCTCTCTTTTCCCCATAGACAAAATTCACCCTCTGTACCATTTTGCGTAGTTTGAGCATTTAGTATTCGTTCTCTCCCTCGCATTGTGTGTAAGGATACTGTTTTTCTGACACACAGGTTGGTCTGTTTAGAACTGCGAACACAGAAAGGAGAGAAAGAGAGAAAGAGACAAGCACAAGTGGGTTGGATATCTGTCGACTGGATTGTTTTTTCAACATCAAGCAGGCATGGAACAGCAGCACTCACTTCTCTTTGTTGTAATGAGGTTTGAGTCAGGGCAATAGTTGATACTGACAAGTTCATCAGCTCAGAAATCCCTTTGCTATAGCTCTACAATATAACAGCAGTGTCTAAGTGGGATGCTTGGGACTACTCTTACCTTGACCAATCCCGTTACACTCACCAATCCATTATTTAAGCTCTGACAGGAGCATTAATCTTTGATGTACATTAAACCAAGTAAGGGCCTTCACAAGCACCCCATTTAGATTGCACATAACTACGACTGAGCTGAAGTAACAAAAACCTTATGGGCATTTGTACCGTTGTCATTGTCAGAATGTAATTGAGACACTTCACTGAAAATGATCTGAGAGATGAATCATGACAAGTATTTGAAGTCTGTTTAAATGTTAGGGGCCAGCATTGGACTGAACCGCCCTATCTATCTCTGCTCCCTCTTGACAAACACACTCAGGACTCACACGGGGCACAGAGATAAGATACAGCAGGAGCTTCCTTCAGCAGAGCACTGTGGGGTTATTTTCCTCAGAACTGCCTGAGTAAAGGTTACATGGGCTTTCTGCCCTGTTGGCAGCCATTTTAGATACTCTAAGATGAAATACTGGGCTAGTTCTTCAGAAAGGGCCAAATTACAATTTTTTTAAGTTGAGGCTCCAGACATGGCTTACATGTTGGTTTAATTAGCCATTTGGATTTCAGTTAATAAAATCTTGACACAGATATTTACACCCACTTTTATGAAAATCCCATGAAGAGGAAGAATGGCCACAAAAGATTTCCCGCATGCATTGATAACTGACACTTTCACAAACATGTCTAACATATTTGATATTTTGTTTGTATATTTTGTTTTAAGTTAACATAGTATGCTCATTTCAGGTTCATAATTTCAATTTGGGTTATTCCTGGAAAAGGTTTACATGCTCCAATGTTCAGAAAACATATCATACAGTCAATTGCTGCAGCTCTTCTTTTCAAACACTGTCTGTAACACTTGGTTTTAGCTCCTGTGTCTTAAAGGAGCCCTCCCATTAAAGCCCAGTCAGCTCTGATTGTGGCCCACTCTGTTGTGATTGGTCAACTGCTTTCACCATGTGGCAAGGTCAGCCTCCACTCTCACTTTATCTGGCTTTGTTGAGTGCACCAGACTAGCAGGGAGGCGCGCAGTATGCAAATATTTGGTATCAACCAGGCGACTGACAAGGTGCTTCAGGAGCTTCAGGAGGATGATGGTATTTTCTGTAGGGTAGAGGAGCTCCCTTTACCACAGACTTTTGGCTTTTTAACTTTGCAGACCTCCGTTTACCATATAACTCAATGGAGGAAAGAGAAAATTGGAAAATGTATAATATATCTCAGATATCCTAAAACTATAAGCTCAGACAAAGCTGAAGTTCACCTGGTGTCGAATTATTAACTCCACCCTCTAATGTGAGCAGACCACGTCATAGTGAGCATACAAATTTGGCCTCAGCTATGTTTTCTACAGCTTTTGAGATTTTGTATAGTACACTGGAAATGTTTGTGTATCAACAAACACATGTAAGTATTGTCTATTTAACTATATTATGCAAGACAAGGCTAACAGGATTACATATAAGCAACTGCTGTACTTTAGTCATGAAGTTGTCAGACAAAGCAAGCACAGTCATTGGCCATATTTGTGAACACGTGTCAGGTTTCTCATGGTTATTCTCCACAGACAAAGTAAAGGCATTTGCAAAATACTTCCCCATTAGTATAGTTTTGGTGGGATCAAATTAACAACATTTTGTTTTCTGGCATTTTTGCCTTTTGAAGACCTCTTGGAAATGTTTGTGGCGTGCTGCTGAGGATTCAGTTCTGTGAAACACTGACACTAACAAACCTTGTCAGAAAAAGATAATTAAAGAATCTCAATCAGAATATTTTCTCATCCACATCAGTGTGCAAGACTCTAACATTAGAGATCTATAGAGCACATAATGTTTTCTGATGGGGCAGGAAAGGGGGCAGCTACATTATGATACACAAGCATCAAATACACAAACGTGGCAGCACCAATCTATGTTGTAACAGGGGGAGAGCCTCTTTTACCTTAGGCATCGGCCCAGACTTGTGACAGAGCGCATGACTGAGTTGATCGAGCACACTGCAGTATGTATGGACAGAGTGGAGTGACAGACTGTTTTGTTCCTCTGTCTCCATGATCCATTGTGTCTTAGGTTACTGGATCTGAGTCACAATCCTGAGTCAACCTGGTGAAATCAAATGTGAAGTCAAGACAGCAACATGTTTATTGTCACAGGTACATCACTCATCCTGAATAACTAAGAGGGGCTGTCTTCATTGTTAGATGATTT